TATATATATAGGAAATGTTGTATATTGCATTTTTATATTGCATATATTAGGAATACTATCTCTCTCTCTATATATATATATACACGTATATACACACACTCTTAATGTATTTAGAAATATATCTAAGTGGGAAAATCCCTGCCCATGGCAGGTTGGTTGGAACTAGATGATCTTTAATGTCCCTTCCAACCCAAACCATTCCAGGATTGTATACTTCAAGGTTAGATGACATAAATGGAAACAAAAATCTCACCTGGTTCATGACTGGTTTGTATTTCAGTCCTGGCTTGTTCAAGATTCTTTCAATCTGCTCATGGTTAAAGTTGGAGACACCAATGGCTTTCACCAGGCCACAGTCCACCAGCTCTTCCATAGCCTAATGAGTAACAACAACCAATGTGTGTCCATGAGGTGGTGATATTACTGTCAACTACATTAGTTTATTTCCCTCAAGCTAGGAACAAACGAACAAACAGCTCACACTAGCTTAGACAACAGTATGGCAAATAATACAAATAGAATTTCCTATCTGTATGAAACACCCAGTAAATTAACAACCACACCTGGATTAATCTATGTGTTGGTTCTACTATTGTGCATTCAAATATTATTTTAGCAACAGTGCCTACAGTGCTAATAGCTTCCTCCTTGTTAGCCTTAGGGAGCTAAAAAAAAAAAAAGAAAGCCTTTAGGAGCCTTTTTGCTCCCTAAAACAGCAGATATCTGGTCAAAATACAATTTTGTGTGACTGTCCTCCACATCCCTTAATTTCAGTGTACACACAGATCTCTGCTCCATCTTTAGTGCTGATACCTGCTCTAAAGTGTAAGCATTAACTTACCTCCCATGTGTCCAGAAAATCTGCATCACTGGGAATACTCTCACCCTTGTCATCCAGAGGCTGCAGGTTTTCACCAGCCTGTTATTTCAAGGCAGATAACACACAGACATTTTAAGAGTCGAATTTCCTACTGTTTGCTAGCCCTTCTGACTGCATTTGCAGGCAGCAAGTTCACAGGTTATTTAAACATGTTGCATAACTCAAAATGATGAGCAGTCATCAGCATTCTCTTTTGGATGAGGGCTATATTTCTACAAGTCAATCCCTGCGTGCAAATAGTGGGGATTAGTAGCAGTTGTGTAATTTAGGCAGATCTAAAGAGAAGAGGACAGACAACCCTCCACCTCTATTCTGGTTTTTTATTTATTTTACACAGATGTATTTCTACAACCAATCCCTGCATGCAAATAGTGGGGATTAGTAGCAGATGTCTAACTCAGGCAGGTCTAAAGAGAAGAGGACAGACATCCCTCCACCTCTATTCTGCTTTTTTAATTTATTTTACACAGATGTAGACTGGGGGAAGAAGCAGCATATTCTTTCTGTGCTATGCTTCAATTTTCACTGTCAGTTACTCCAGACCAAGTTAACAATCTTCAAAACCTGAGATGTTCATGCTGTTCCACCACAGCAGGCCACAGTCCTAAAACTGCACCATCCCATGTTGGTTACAGTTTCCCTAAAGACCCCGGGAGGTCATTAGCAGTGCTCATATCTATGACTTTTGTTCCAGCTGGTGTGAAAAGCCAGACTCATGTGCTAAAACATACCATTACTTAGTGACCAAATGCTTCCTAGCACTAGGTTCAGGGCAGGGCCAAATGAACCACAGCATACCCCAGCTGCATAATGAAGATGGTCACAGGATAGATGAGAGAATGCACCATGTTTCTAGGCAGGTAAGGAGAAAAGGGATGTAGAGCAGGACTACCTTGAATCCCATAGGGAAGTGCATCAAGTAGAGGTCAAGGTAGTCCAGTTGCAGTGCATCAAGGCTCTTCTTGCAGCCAACCTTAACCAAGGGCTTCTCATGAAATGTGTTCCACAACTGTGGGAAGAAACCAAGCACGACTGTGACTTTTCAGCTCCCACAGTGCAGACCAGGGGACAACCTTCTCCCTTGGTGGTCTGGAAGGACAACTACCCCCCTATCTACTCAGTGCATGCTGAAGACAAGCATGTCAACATTTTACTGATAAGGTAGGAGAAACATACCACAAAGCTGGCAGTGGTGAAGGTGAAGTCAGTGTTGTCACTCATGAAAAGAGATTCTCAGAAATAAATGTAACACTTTGGTAAACGCATCTGACACAGCAAAGCTGTTAATGTTAGAATTATTTTTTTCAGCCTAAGTTTTGAGTGTTGAGCAGCTCATAGCTACCCTCCTTCTGTCTCTTTGAACTGTCCACAGTGAGAATACTTGTCAATTTTACTTCATTTTTGAAATCAAAATTCAAGTGTTTAAACAGAAGAACTTGCATGCATTATTAAATTAAACCCTGTTCTTTAATAAAAACAAAGCATATGTGGAAAAGCTTAGTTATACTCAAAGTTTTCTGGGTTTGGTGGTGAAAACTCCAAATCATAAGTTTATTAATTGAAGTGTTCTTACGTTTTCAGAAGGAGCATTTCTGAGACAAGTGGATGAGATAAAGGAATTAAGCAAATACATGTAAAATACTTCAAGCAGAAGTCCTGTACTTTGATTTCTATTTTCTATCATTTGTAGATGACAGATTCTCAAATGTCTTAAGTAATGCCTATGAATCCAGACATGTCTTGCCTTTTCTTTTCCTAATCTTTCTCGGGTGTGCCCAAAGGAACCTTCAGGATAATTAAATGATTTAATTGATGCAAGGAAATTATAAAATCACTAACAGCCACCTTATCTTTCCTAATTTGTCGATGGCTCCTGATAAAGCTCAGTCCAAACTGCAAATAAAAGGTGGAATTTATGGCACACAACAAGACAACCATGAAGTGAGTAACAGAGCAGGGAATAGGCCTCTATATTACTTTAGAAGTGGAACTAGGGTTTCTCCTGGGGAAAAAAACCAAATGCCCCAATCATCCCACATCCTTGTACCTTAGTGACAATGAAGAGATCTTCCCGTTTCACAGCCCCCTCCTTGATCTTCTGCTGGATAGCATTTCCAATTTCATGTTCATTCTGGTAGAAGTAGGCGCAGTCAAAGTGGCGGTAGCCGGCGCCGATAGCAACCTTCACCACCTCTTCCACCTTTCCTGGGGGAGCCTGAAAGCAAACAGAAGCCAACCACGAGCTGTAAAATGTAAAATATCTCCTCCTTACTCTGATAGCTCCACAATGCCTCCCTTTCCAGGTGCTCCTGTTCATCTCAGCATTTCGCTGAGTTCCAACCGAGCCCCCAGGCAAGCTGCATTTTTGCAGGGAATGGGTAGAGTGTGAGAAGGAGTTTTTTGCTCCTGTGAGACAGGCTGGTTCTGCCGCTGCCAGCGGTGATTGCTCGCTGTGATTTCCCCTCTTTGCCCTGGCTGTGCCCGAGCAGTGTCGCCACTTCACCCTCCCCA